TCGCCCTACACTACGCCTACCGGTACGAGGCTGCCACTCGAGAATCTTTCTTCCCCATCGGTTATCGGTTCTTCGAGCTATATGGCCGGCCCATTGCCACTTCAGCTTACTAACCCGTTGGGCTATGTCGGTCACTCTGGTTTTACTGCGGATATCCTCATTTCTGAGTCTACACGCAGAGAAACTCCGAGCATAGCCCTCTCCATAGCTCGCTGAGCGACCTTGAGCGTCCTCATACGGCCAGCAGTGAAGGACCACGTCTCAGATCCGTAAGTCATCACTGGCAACACGCACTGATTATACACTTTAGTTTTCAGAGATTGAGGTATACCTGACGAGATGTGTCGTAATTTCCCGAACGCTGCCCAGCCGAGTTGAATCCGTCGATTGACCTCTCGGTCGAAGTTGGACTTACCTAGTCGGACTATTTGTCCCAGGTAAACGTACTCGTCAAAAACTTCGAGCATAGTGCTCCCAACAACTACCGGCATAGGTGTGAGTGTGACATGGACATAAACATGATCTTTGTTTTGTCCATGTTCATCTTAAGACCTATCCGTTGGGAGACACCATTGAGGTCATTGAGCATAGTGCTAAGGCTCCAGCGATTCTGCCAAAAGGACTATATCGTCGGCAAATCGAAGGTGAGTGATGTACTCGCCATTGATGCTAATACGGTATTATCCTTTCCAGTCCAGTAGCTTGAAAACGTCTTCCAACGCAGTGGTGAAGAGTTTCGGGGATATAACATCTTTCCTGTCTTACACCTCTCTGCAGTTGGATAGGTTTCGAACTCTGGTTCTGTAATCCTCTTTGGATAGCCATCGTAGCCCTACTGTACAAACATTTCAGCACTTCGATATACCGACAGTCAACTTGGCACCGCTGAAGGGACTGTAGCACCACCCAAATTACGACGGAATCAAAGGCTTTCCGATAGTCCACATATGCCAGGCAAAGTGGCAGATTGTACTCTTCGGTCTTCTGTACAATCTGCCGCAGGGTATGTATGTGGTCTATGGTACTGAAGCCTTTTCGGAAACCGGCTTGTTCGGGAGGCTGGAAGTCGTCGAGTCTGCGTGCGAGACGATTCGTAATGACATGATGACCAGCACGTAGACGCGGCTCAGAAGGAAATCGGTCTGTAGTTCTTCAAGAGAGCGTTGTCGCCTTTCTTAAAGAACAAGACCACCGCGCTTCTGCTCCACGCCTCCGGAGTAGTGCCACCATGGAGGACGGAATTGAAGAGCTTCTGAAGGACTTCAAGTACCGGTGTTACATCCGCTTTCAGAAACTCCGCTGTAATTCCATCCTCGTCCGGGGCGCTGCCGTTTTTAAGGTGCTGGAGAGCCATTCTAATCTCGCTCAGACTGACGTTCGAGATATCATCGGAATAGTGTCGGATAAGACTTGCTCTTGGATCGTTACTCACACTTGCGTGTGGCTCCAACGATGATGTGTACAGCTGCCCATAGAACCTCTCAATCTCACTCAGAATCTCAGGTGTCCCGGAAACGATGCTGCCACACTCAGTCTTCAGCTTTGACAGTTGGCTCTTTCTGGCAGACAGATCTCTGGCAAAGACTTTGGAGCCCTGGTTCCGCTCGATCGCTTCTTTAATACGAGCAGTATTAAAGTTGCGTAAGTCTCGCCGCATGCATTTGGGGATCTGTCTGTTCAGTTGCCTGTATGCTGTCAAATCTGTTGACGATTGCAGCCTCATCTCCCGTCTAACAGCCATGAGATTAAGAGTGTGATCGGAGAGTTTTTGTGTTCTTCTGCGGCGGGTCTTGCAGAACTTAGCTCCGACTGCATGGACTGTTTCCACGAGCTTGTTATTCATATCGTCCACTGCATTGCAATCTTGTAGGCACTGAAAGCGGTTACGTAACTCGAGCTGAAAGGTTTCGGGATTCTGGATTAGAGCACGAGGGGGACTGAGCGTTGACTTCATTAGACGAGACCTCTCCAACTTAACATTTAGGTTCAGTGTGCCTCTAACCATTCGGTGATCGCTGCAAGTTTTCACCCTTGTGATCACTGAGACATCACTGAACAGTTGGCGTCTGGTCGTCATAATGAAGTCAATCTCATTTTTTGTCGAACTGTCGGGGCTCGACCAGGTCCACTTCCTGTGGGGCCGCTTCTGGAAGAAAGAGTTCATCATAAAGAGTCCCTCTTTCTCCATAAAGTCGGCCAGCTGCTGGCCCCTTCGGTACCATTGCCCTACTCCAAATTTCCCTACCTTCAGCTCACCGCTTTCTCTTGTGCCTAGTTTTGCGTTGAAGTCTCCCATCAACACCGCAGTATTTTATTATTATATTATATAATTATATTATACATATAATATATAAATATTTTATATATAAATGGAAGTTTATCAAAGGTATAAAATATTTTTCTTTCAAATGGTAGGTACCTACCATGTTTAAATATTATGTAATTAATTCTTGTTCCTGTTTCTAATCTATGGGTCATTTTATAATACTATTTTCTGTACATTCTACTTCTACAAGTCAAATGATTACTAGACATACTTCGATACATGCTACGCTTTTTGATTTTAATATGTAGAACATTTTCTACATGGATCCTAATGTGATCTCATCCTGTGACCTTTTCCTGATGTTATTAATCATAGAAGAAAGAAATTCGAATAGCCAACATGACGCTTTTTAACGATAAAATCAAGGAGTCAACAAACTTGAACTCGCTGCAATTGACGTACGCAACGACTTAACACGCCGCGTTATACGTGATTATACGTGATTATGTCAATAAAATGTTGTCAAATGTCAATATAACAATTATTACTCGTTGTAACTCAAATAATAAAAAGAAATAAAATCAATCTACGGCCTTATAACTAAACTTAAATAGTAGATAAATTAAAATCGCTTAATATAGCCTGTCTGAAGCGTGGAGTGATTTCAACAAGAATTATAACATTTATATTTTATTCGAAGTTATTATTTGTGTGGGATTATAGAGTCAAAAGTAGGGTTGTAAAGCCACGTTGCAGCTATATTTGTATTTTGTTGTAATTTAAAATAATATTGTTGTGAAATATATAAAGTAGTATTTGTGCTGGACATATATAGTTAGAGAGCTACAAGTATGGGCATAGAGGGTCATTTATCCAATAGTAGAGACGGATCCAGTGTCGGAGACACAGTGCAGTCACAATACGTCTAGACGTGCAGGGCGGTTGTGTACCTCTAATGTGAATCGTGGTTGGCTTCGTTTTGACGTTTCACGATTGGTTTCAATGTATTATGAAAAAGTTTCGATTATGAGCCGATGTCTTTTTTATATTGATTAATACATCAACAACAATCTTAGGTAACAAAATATTATCATAATGAAAGAAATATAACATAGTTGTGGCGTTATTCCCACTCGCACACAATTACCAACAGAACTACAGAATCGAACTGCTGAATAAAAAATATATTATGTTGGGTGGATAAATATCACTCCTTAAAGCCGAATCTTGCAGTGACCTTTTGATAGAAAACATAAGATAGGAAATATCTAGCCTTATTTAAAGTTATGTATTTTCTATAAAAAGAAACATTGTTAATGTAATTTGATCTGCTTTGTACGCATTATATACATTAATCCTATACCTTTAAACGAGCAATTCTTGTGTATATATATATTTATTTATCCGTGTTTTCAGGCAATGTAGAACTGCTACAATATAAGAAGGTAAATTTTGACACAGTGTTAATGATCGTAATAGCTCAAGTGGATATCGAGCGGTCGCGAAATGGTAATGCTTTGGTTCGCGTCCTGTCTTCGGTTCGACTTCTTTTCTTTTTTTTTTCAAGTTCTCTTCTTTTGTGAGAAAATCTATTATTTCGAGCCCTTTTTTAGGGTTCCGTAGTCAACTAGGAACCCTTATAGTTTCGCCATGTCTGTCTGTCCGTCTGTCCGTCCTCGCTTAATCTCTGTGACCGTTAGCACTAGAAATCTGAAATTTGGTAACAATATGTGTATCAATCCAGCCGACAAAGTGGTAAAATAAAAATTGGAAAAAAATGTTTTATTAAGGTAGCCCCCCTATATGTAAAGTGGGAAGTGATTTTTTTTTAATTTCAAACCTAACGTGTGATATATTGTTTGAAAGGTATTTAAAAATGAATAGGGGTTTACTAAAATCATTTTTTTGATAATGTCAATAATTTCGGAAATAATCGCTCCAAAAGTAAAAAACAATGTGTCCCCCCCCTCTAACTTTTGAACCATAAGTTTAGAAAATATGAAAAAAAATCTGAAAAGTAGAACTTTATAAGGAATTTCTAGGAAAATCATTTTGAACTTGGATGGAAACAACAGTACCCACTACCGGGAGCAGTTGCAGAAGCGCGGAGCGCTGCTGGAGCGCGAACATAATGGATACCCACCTTTAAACTAATAAGTGGGAACACTTATTGTGACAGACGGGAAACTACGGAACCCTACACTGAGCGTGGCCCGACACGCTCTTGGCCGGTTTTTTATTTTAGTATTTTTTAAACGAAAATTTTTATTAAACTTATTGCACTCATGATTTTTTATTTAAATAACCGGTTCAGTTTTTTCCTATTATGTCAATAAGATCAAAAAATATTATTCATGTTTCACCAGTATGTAATTTGTATCTATATGTAATTTCAAAAAAAAAAAAAAAAAACGAGCAAAGCTCGGTCATCCAGGTACTTTATTTTAATGTTTACAAGGTATCCTTTTGAGTCATGAAGCTTTAAACGTCTTTTAATGAAGTGTTTAAGTTTCGGAGATATAATGCCACCACACTTACCACCTATCAAAATTTTATTTATTTATCCTAAGCCAGTTTTTGTCCGTTATACCACCTGATGCTAAGTGGTCAGGTAGCGGAACATAGTAAAGCGCCATTGACTTAGCTTAACAGAAGCCTATTCATTCACTTCTTTCTAGTTAAACTTCAGTATACATGAAAAATAAAGTTGTAAATATTTTATCTCAAATTACAGGTGGCGAGCACATTCAAACAAGCTGTTAGCAAAAAAGAAAACCTGGAACATTTAGGCGGCATGAGCGAGGCTTCCAGTGACGGTAACACCATTTATTTTTATTTTTTCATTATAATACTATGCTAACACTCAGAATTCACAAATGAAATTAATAAATTTGATTTTATCATTGGTGTACTATTCACCTATATATAAAAAATTACTAAGCTCACGATTATAATAACCCAAAATGTATATAGTTCTATGTCTCGAGTTTGTTCAAATATAATAGTTACTATAAACAGCACATGCGAATCCTTTATAAATTATAACACACATACATACCTTACAACATTTTATTTTTCTTAGATGGGCAAATAGGAACTAAGTAATATCAGATTAGTTTCCTGAATCCTGAAAGTGCTCCTACAATAAGATTATGGATACCCATAAAACTTATGCGTTTGATGAGAGTAAGGTACAAGTTTCAGAACTTTTAGTTTTGGGTTTACCCATGATTTGTTTGATTACCTTGATTTATAACCTGACGGAGAATAACTGTACATGGTAAAACACCGGTACGGATTGTGTGTCGTATCTCCATTTTGTTTGTCACTAGTAAAATAATAAATATCTAATTAAAAGGAAGCACTTATCGGGGTGGGTTTCATTTTGCTTTAGCGGCCTCGAGGACGATGACTCTGGTGTTGAGACTGCGTTGTAAAGCTGTACGCTGTGCCGGACACGTAATCGTATGAAAAACGTGTAGAATAGTCTTGTTCCGTCGCAGTATGCATCAGCGGCGAAGGGCAAGCGCGGTGAAGTGGGCAGCGGGTACTCCGCACTGCGCGGCCTCGTTCTCGTAGCGACACTGCGGTGTGCTTTCCGGGTTGACAATGGATTTGTTTGAAGATAATTTAATATAATTAATACGAAATCATCCCTCTTTATATAAAATTAAAGACAAAGGTGTCTCTTCCTCCTCCTCAAGCAAAGCACAAATTTCAAAACTATTGTTCATGTTGACACGTCTGCTTTGGTAACTGCGGCAAAATCGACCGACCATTTCTCCCCAGAGATGCTAAACGCCACGTAGTCACGCTGCGTTTGAGCCGCGTGCCGCAGCGTTGTGCGTAACGATCAAGAGACCAAGGCTTAAGAGAGCAAGCGGCCGCAGCGGACATCCTTTTATTTGTCGACCATATCTCCACATCCATTTAGGCGGAGGGCAATTTTTGACTAAAACTAATTTGACCTATTTTATCGCGTTTAATTTTACTTTTTTATTTCTGTCGTTTCGGACGCATGACAGCACCCATGGTCATGTCATAAGGTGAAAAAGACACATAGGTGCCCGAAACGTCGGTTAAAAAAAGTTTCAATGAAACGCGTTTAAGTAGATATTAGTTTTAATACAATGTATAGTATTCATGTAAAAATATCAAATTATATTTTATTTTTTGACAGGTACTACTCACTCTGTCAGACTTGAAGAGCAGATGGCTTTCTCTGGTTGGATCAACAGTAATCTTGAGCACGATCCAGATTTAAAACACCTTCTACCTATCGACCCTGAAGGCAAACAGCTTTACGAGAAGCTCAAAGATGGTCTCATATTATGGTGAGTTGGTTTGAAGAGACCAATAAACTTACTTTGTTAGAATAGTGGCAGTGGTGTGATCACGTCCGCAATGACACTATAAACCGAATAACAACTTTTATATCAAGCTCTACAACAAAAAGAGCATTGGCCGTAGCTGAAATCCTTGTTAAGCGGGAGTACGTTTTATTAAGGCTTTAAAAGTTTATCAAGGGCATTGGAAGATGTCTTGGGAGGGTTTTAGCGTAAAATAATAGTGCGTGTCAGTTCCGACGCGCGACTGGAGTTGAAGCTCTGGGACAATTTTGAATTCATTATAAGTATATTCACACACACACACACACACGTGTTATTTGTGATTTTATTCTTAACAACGTAACGATTAGTATTTTTTGAATAGGGTGATGTTGTTAGTTTATATTGAAGAAACAACTCGTTGAAACTAACACATACATAACAATATATACTTAGTATATTTAAGTTTAAATTAAAGCAAATTTTAGCATTTAAAATTATTAGTTAAATAAGTACTCCTACGCCCTGGCGTAGTCCTAAATTCGTGGAACACAGCTTTCGTGCACCCGATTCCTAAAAAGGTAACCGCTCTGATCCATCCAATTACAGGCCTATCGCCATCCCCCCTTGTTCTCTCGAAAATAATAGAGTCGATCATCAAACGCCAGCTCACGCGGTATTTTGAGGAGCACCAGCTGACAAGTAACCGCCAGTACGGTTTCCGTCGGGGTCGCTCAGTTGGTAATCTTCACGTTTACCTAACACACCGATGGGCGCAGGCGGTCGAGTCCAAAGGGGAGGCCCTGGCGGTTAGTTTAAACATAGCGAAGGCCTTCGATCGAGTTTGGCACAAAGCACTTCTTTCGAAGCTTCCATCTTGTAGGCTTCCTGAGAAATTGTGCAATTGGATCACCAGCTTTCATGCAGATCGGAGCATCAAGGTGCATGCTCCGATTACGGGCCTGTTAATGCTGGTGTTCCACAAGGCTGCGTTCTATCACCAACGATGTTTCTTCTTCGTTCTGCCTATCAATAATATGTTGCAAACCGATAACATTCATTGCTATGCGGATGACGGCACTGGTGATGCTCTATAGAGAAATAAAACGCCGGCCCTGCCAATATTTCTCAGGAAAACGTCGCTGTGTACTGAAACAAACTTGTGTCTGAAGTCGATTCCTTGCTGAACAGTGAACAAAGTCTCGGATTGGATGCGACTAAATCTAGCCCAGTTCAATCCCCATTAAACACAGGTTTGCGCGTTTACTACTAAAAAGAACCCCTTATGTCGTATCATCTCTTCAATTTCAAGGCAATCTCCTTGCTGCCTCCGCCAGTATCGGAATCCTCGGCGTCGACATATCGAATGATGTGCAGTTTCGTGGTCACTTGGAACAGAAGGCCAAATTGGTCTCTTAAAAGCTTGGCGTGTTCAAAAGAACGGGACAGTATTTCATGCCGGCACACCGCCTGCAACTTTACAAGGCGCTGGTTCGCCCTCCCATAAAATACTGTTCCCATCTCTGGGCTAGGGCTCCCAGTGCCAGCTCCTTCCACTTGACCGCATCCAGCGTAGAGCGGCTCGAATCGTCGACGGCCGAGTCCTCTCCGATCGGCTCGATCCACTGGCGCTGCAGAGATGTTGCATGCCTTTGCATCTCCTACGCATCTACCACGGGGAGTGCTTTAAGGAATTGTTTGGATTAATTCCAGCCGCCAAATTTCACGAATGCATGTCGCGACAAAACTCAGGATACCATCCACATCATGGATGCTTGGTGGTCCACCATTATACGTTTTACTAAGAGTTTTCTTACTCGTACGACCCCTCTGTGGAATCGCTTACCACTGGCGATTTTTCTGGATGGATACGACATAGGGACCTCCATGAAAAGAGCTTACTTCTTTCTAAAAGGCCGGCAACGCACCTGCCATTCTCCTGGTGTTGCAGTTGTTCATGAGCAGCGGTAGTCACTTACCCCATCAGGTGAGCTGCATGATCGTTTGCCCGCCCTCCCCCTCTATAAAAAAGAACGTTCTTGAAAGATTCAGTTTCTAAGCAATGTTCGAAATTTATTGAAACAAAGGGACATCAAATTTCTCGATGATGCCAATATGATATATGAGCATATTAATAATGCATTTTCTATGTCTGACTGAGGATACAGTATTCAAAAATAAATTTTATGGCTTAACATTATATTTCATACGAGTTCTTTACGCTAATACTACTAAAATATAGTCCTGAATTGATAATTGTAATTAATACTCTGTAATTTTTAAAATGACCTATGGTACAATTTCAATCACATGGTATTTCCATTTTCCAGTAAAGTGATCAACCATTCTTGCCCGGACACAATCGACGAGCGCGCCATTAACAAAAAGAACCTTACACTTTACACAAAACACGAGAACCTCACTCTGGCGCTGGTCTCCTCTCAAGCCATCGGCTGCAACATCGTCAACATTGATGCTCATGACCTCGCTAAGGGTATAGTTTGTTTTATAATTCTTAATTTCTTAACACCTTGATTTTACTCTTTGATTTGAAATGCCTTTACAAACGCAATTCATGATAAGTTTTGCTTAGATTGAAATAAGTTTGAAGTACATGACACCTGTGTTATTGTTTTGTTCCAATATTTACCGTGTCTACAATATAGTTTTTAATTAATGAGAGGTATGTACTTAAATAATAATATAACTGTATTAACTAAAATTCTAATTGAGAAATAAAATACCACTCCTACACTTTTATTTGCAAAAAAAAAAATTGTTAATATATATGCCAGGACTTTGAGTACAAAAAAGTCTAAATAACAATATAATATTAAAAGAAAATTTTATCGTAAATATACTTTTATGTGAGGTAAAGAGAAGGACGGTACATTAATTATTTTATGTTGTAATTTTAAATGTATGTAAATTATTTATAAAATTTTGATTGATTAACTTTCAGGCAAACCACACTTGGTACTCGGTCTCCTGTGGCAGATCATCCGCATCGGTCTCTTCAACCAGATCACCCTTGAACATTGTCCAGGTCTTACAGAACTTCTCAATGACCAGGTATATACGTATTAGATATGGCTTACTCATACGGTGTTAGATGTAGTTCGACAATGAAATGCGATTTTTTCCATAAAATTATCCATATTATAAAAAATGCAACTAATTTGTAGCAAAGTATTTGGTGGCATATTTTTCTTTGTAATTTTGACATATTTTAAGTTGCTTTCCAACTTTGATCTTCATGGAAAATAAGGGGTTATTGAGGTTCAATTGTATTTCCTTATACAGATTTATAAAAATTTTAGCACAGTGATGAGTGCTCCGCTCTTAAAATATGTTTCATGAAATTCCAGAATAATTCATTTCATTCTGTTTTATATTGTATATGATATAATATGATATAATAATAAAAATCATCACTATTATTTCAACCATCACTACCACCACAGTGGAGGTCTAATGCTGAACACAGGCCTCCCCCTATAGATTTCATATATACCCATAGATTCGATCTATTTAACATTATAGCCTATCAAAAGTCCATTGCTGAACATAGGCCTCCCCATATATTGCGTTATAAGGGGGGACGGTAACCGCAGTTCTTTTAATTTTTAAATGCTGCGGATTAGAAGATTCTATTGGTAGAGCTACGATGCAGCGATATTATGGTTGTAGCACGAATGGGTCGGCTCTCACAGAACGTGGAAGGACCGCGCTCTCACAAAATACCACCGTAAAATAGTAGCTTGATGCTGCTGTGTTTCGTACGGTGAGTGTAGAGAACCGGAGACCCGTTTTACTGGAATCGAGGCATTCCATCTTAGTCCTCAGGGGTGACAACGCTTCTGCAGTTTGATTCTTAATCGAGGATAGATGTAAATGTCTATGGGCCACAGCATCCACTTACCATCGGGTGGACTGTGTGCTTGCTTGTCACCCTAATTCTATAAAAAAATATTAGAAATAGAGTTTCAGTTTTCTCCTGTAACGTCTATATGAGGGACGGACGTACCATATGAGAGAGTGGGTTCTCGTACACCGCCACTACACGGCATGTTATTAATGTGCAAAGTAAATATGGCAGGAGCGCATCGAGGACCTGCTGGCGCTGTCGCCCGAGGCCATCCTGCTGCGCTGGGTGAACCACCAGCTGGCGGGCGCGGGCGTGACGCGCCGCTGCACCAACTTCCAGCAGGACGTCGCCGACTCCGAGATCTACTCGTACCTGCTCAAACAGATCGCACCAGCCGACTCCGGCGTCACTCTCGACGCGCTCAGGGTAAATATTCATCACCACCACCACCACCGCCACCACCACCACCACCACCACCACCACCACCACCACCACCAAAAACACCACTACCACCCCACCACAAGTCCGCTGCTAAACATTGGGTTTCGCTAAGTAAATCTTAAAAAATTCTAGACCTTTTCACAGCGGCTGTCAGTACGACACTGGCGGATCACCGCGCGATAGTGTTTGCCTATGTTGGGTCACGTATACAGGACGTCTCTAAAATCGAAACTTCCAATAATAACAATGCGCTATACTAATGTTAAACACTCTCTGCGCGCAGTGCAATAAAATGGGGAAACAGGATATCGGCTGTTGTGCTCTCTGTTGCACTTACGGGCCTTACGGCAAACATAGTCACTGTATATTATGAAAAAGTAAAGAATGCACAATAAAAAGAAAACTATTCAATATATACATTTCTTATTTGTCAAAATACACACTTAGAGCATATAATACGAATGAAAACTATTTGTTTACTCTTGCAGACTAATTATTAAATTACCCACACTTATTAATAAACTACAACGGGCCAGCGCACTATTTTTCATCCTTCTAGGAATCAATAAGTAGTTATCGAAAAGTGCCACACCGCTTGCGTCTGTCCCTAGTGCGCACCGATGATTTATGGCACCGCGGGTAGCGAGTGTTTAACATTAGTATAATATAGTCATTAAAGGAACAACGAATACCGACGGGAATTCATGAAGAGCATCATAAATAACTTAAATTACCTTATATATACTTATACATTATTAATAATTATTACAATACAGCTAAAACACGTCCTGTATATATGTACAATCCATGAGCACCGCGTATTGTAATGGCCAAGTCACGCACGCACGGACTTAACAAATAATAAGAATTGTTTTTTACCTTACTCTATTATTTCTTATTTTCAACGATACATCGTAAAATTCCTATAAACTTATGTTTGTATCATAATATATTGTTTAAGGATGTAATAAAAAATAAATATAAAGAAAGGAATGCTAGAAAGGACAGTGCTGAGCCATCTGCCTCCATAAACTTCTTGAATCTCATCACAGTACTACGAGACTGTCACTGGAGATCCTTTCTTCACCACCGGTTATCGGAGCATCTTCGAGCTATATGGCCGCCCATTTATACTTCTGCTCTTACTAAGCCATTGGCGATTACACCATCTAGTACTTATTACTGACATCAATCTTCTTAAAGCCGATTTTATCATTCTCGAGTACATGCACTAAGCAGACAGTCTTTCAGTGTTCTACAAGATACATTTCAAAGAATGTGTGCAGTGATCGCATAACTTGTTTCCTCCTTCTCTTCTACCATTAGACAACTAGCTAGTGTCTTCAAACAAGAGTGAATAATCGTTTGTTTAGAAGCCATGTGTGTCTTGGTCAAAAAACATAAACAGTTTTTTACAAAAAATAGTGATGTTGTTAGTTTTAATACAAGGTATAAGGATAAACTAGTTCTTCCATTTAGAAAGAAGGCAACCTCTCATAAGAGCTGTTACTCGATGGCAATAAAGGTGTTTAACAAACTGCCTAGCGACATAAAGTCATTGCCTCTTAGTAAGTTTAAAGGCAAACTTTTTTAAGTGGTTGTTGGACAGGGCTTTCTATAATATTAAGGAGTTTTTTAATTACAAATAAATTCACTTGACCATGAATATAATGTTTGTAATGTATTTTGATTTTAAATATGACTACTATAATAATAAAAATAATTGTACTGTTTAAATAATAACTAATTTTAATTCAATTTAATTCAATTCAATCTGTTTGTAATGAATTATGATTTTAAATATGAATACTATAATAATAATAATAATAATTGTACTGTTTAAATAATAACTAATTTAAATTCAATTGATATATACTTAAATATTTGCACGTCCTAACAGGACAAAACATGTTGATCTTTTATTTGATGTAACAACTTATTTACCGTGTTTTATGCAAATAAATGATTCTTGATTCTTGATTCTTGAAGAATATTTGTAAAATAAATAGGCTAAATAACTTTTTGGATGAGCGACATAAGTCCGGGACCTATGGTTTTCATCACAGTTGCATATTTTGTTGCTCATATGACTTTGTTAGTATAATTATAATAAAAAAAAATTAACAATTTTACGTTTCTACCACAGGAAACAGACTTACTGCGCCGTGCAGAAATTATGTTGCAACAAGCCGCCCGCCTGCGTTGTCGAGCGTTCGTAACCCCGGCGGACGTAGTAGGCGGAGTCTACAAGCTCAATTTGGCCTTCGTCGCCAATCTGTTCAACCAGCATCCGGGATTGAACCGCACTACCGACACAGAGCAATACCACCAACTCGATGAAACTAGGGAAGAGAAGAGTGAGTAATTCACTATCAATAATATCACAGTTTAAAGACCTTACAGTTGGGAAACGAATGTACTTGTGCAGAGCAACGGTGGGGGTACTGCGCGGCAGGGGGCGGGCTGACCTTGTGCTAGCGCACTTCACTGAATCTGACAGACATTACATGCGATGGGCGCGAGCGTGTTTTACTTATTTAACTAATAAAAAAAAAACTAAAATTTCTAGAATTATCTGGTGAATTACTGTTATAGTTATATGAGTTACTAAGTAAAATTGAATTCAAATGACGGCTATGCTTATGTTTTCGTCGTGTTTTGGTGATAAAAATGAATGCGGATACATTACATAATTAAATTAAACTATCGAAAACATCTATAAAAAGAAAGTTTCAAGAAAATGTTTGGTAGTGCAAACCTGGTAAATGTGTTTTCTTATCCAGTCATATTTTATTTCCATTTACGCGACAACCCCTAGCATGCACGCTGACGCGTAAAATACATACGCAGGTGGCGTCATTGCCGGACATCAAAGGCGGTGCACAACTGTAAGGTCTTAAAACTGTGATAATATTATTATTCTAAAAATGCAGATGTTTTATATGAAACTCACACTTGCTAGCGATGGCAACAAATATTGGCTAAAGAAACCACATGAAAGTCGACCGAAATTTAAGAATGCTTTTAGTTGCTTTTTCTCTTTCCACCAACATGACAATCGAAAGGGACAGGTATAGAAACAAATAATAACTAATTTAAGAAAGCCACAATCAATGATTGTAGGTAAGGCAATTAATTACTAACCGTGTAGTGGAGGTACAGGACCCAACAATGTAGTTAATTACATACATGGTATGTAATTAACTACATTGTTCTATATCGTCCTGTGGGTGTCGAAAGACGCGGCACAGGGTAAAAAACCAGCAGTGGCGAAGCTAGAGCTCCAAGCTAGGGCACGCCCAAGATATAAATTGATAAAAATATAGATTGTTGTTTTTAGCAGTTTTATAAAAATACACCAATCTTGATCTGTCTCCACGCTTCAGTTTCATATTCAGTGCTGTCAAGGACGTGATTAACAAAGCACACAGAAGGCATAACACTGCTAGATAGATTGTATTACATATCAGCAATTTCATAGCTTCGGTGGCTTTGAAGAAAGCCGTTTGGGTTTGTTTAAGCGAAAGAAAAAAAATATTTACATCCAATACAATACATGAACAAAAGTAAAACACGAACAAAGTACAAACAAACTATGTACAAAATTAAAAAAAAAATTATTTACATTCTAATGGATAAGAGATAAGATAAGATAAGTGGAATCGTCTCTCTTTCTTATGGAAAGATTTCATTACGTCCACGTAAAATGTTGGTGAACGTTTTAATTGTACCAATAACTGTTTTTAATTGCGATAATTGATAAGTCTGAAATACACTCTTAACCTTGTGTATTATCTCAACAAAGTTTAAAGATTTCCTCTCCGATTATCACTTTAACACACTTCAATTCATCACAAGGAACACTATTATCCTCCATTTTCATTAAAAATCTTTAAAAAAGCATAAATTTTGAACTCGTAATATTAAATCGCTTAAGATAAGCACACCGAGTAAATAAATATTGAAACGTGAAATGAACTTGCAAACGTATTGCCCGCGCGCCTCCGCTTTTAACAAATTTATTCCCAAAAGCCTAGCTTTAAATCTCTATACTAATTGCTATATATACAATCGTAGTTATATTTCATTATAGAATATTTTGCCATAGGTTAGAAAGAGAGCGATCGTCTTCTCGAAAGCCCCGTAAAAAGCCCACGCGAGCGAGGGAGACAACTATTAGCTCTATTAAAACTAATTTTTTATGACAGCAGCAGTATCGCTAAGGCAATACGAGGTCATCGGTCGACATGTGTCGAACAGTGCAGTGCGCGGGAAATTTTAAATAGCTTGAAACATTTTACGAGTTATTTTATTAGTTGATATTATTGATTTATTCAGGTTTAATAAGGCAAGCCCGGCTTTTCGGCTTTAATGGAAGCTTCACCACTAAAAACCAGGAGATGGTCAGCAGCGTCTTTCGGATGGACGGTGTAAACTGGTGATGGAAAGCAGTACTGACTCCACGGTCACCAAGCCGCCTATCCAGAATAGGTCTACAGTAGGGTCCAACGCATCTAAATTTTGGATACTTAATTTTAGATACTTGTCTATATTAAAATGTCTATGGGCCACAAGCATCTACTTACCATAGTGGACTGAGCACTCGTTTGTCACCCTTATTCTATGAAAGCAAATTAAATTTGGTCTGTGGAGAGTAAGGAAAAATCTTTTTAAATCTATACTTCATTTATTATAGCATTACAAAAAGAGGCTCGTAGAAGCAGATGTGCAAAACATTTTAATTAATAGTTCAGATAATTTTAATGAAAATTTTCATAAAATTGTTTTAATATAACATTGAGAAATTTATTACTGCTTAAACATGAAACTGTTCCTAAATTGCCCTAGGCTAACATAGTTGTTCGTTTTTCCTAATTATGTTAAACTTAGTGGAATGTAAGAGAGAATGTACTACATACTAAGACTAACGAAATTACGGTCATTTTTAATAACGAGGCTTTTTTAATTACAATAACAAAGCAAGATACTATTAACAATTACTTTCAAATATTGTATGATCCTTACCTGCAACGTCTACAGTTCTGTTAGTTATATGAGTTTAATAAGGAGCTGTACCTGCAGACCAGAACTGCGAAACTCGCTTAAAATATTTATGAAATAAAGTGGAGTTTGTTTTATTCTATTTTTTAAAGCAATTTAATATTTTGTCAAGGTCTACATTGAGGCCACTTTTTGGTCGTCTTTGGCTTTGGTCAGTTTCAGGAATTGATTATTGTGAGTCACCCGCAATTTTTCAACTAAACGTACCGCTTTGCACCGCCAACTCAAAAAAGGTTATAACTTATAATTACTTAATTTTTTTATAGGATAGGGTAAAAAACGAGCACACAGTCCACCTGATGGTAAGTGGTGGCTGTGGCTATAGACATCTACATCTAGGTATCCTCGATTACGAATCAAAATGAAGATGCGTTGTCACCCGTGAGGACTAAGATGGAATGCCTCGTTTCCAGTAAAAAGGGTCTCCGATTCTTTACACTCACCATACGAAACACAGTAGCATTAAGCTACTATTTCACGCTGGTATTCTGTGAGAGCGTGGTATATAACTGTAACAAAAAAATAAAAATAAGAAAAAAACAGTAAAAATATCATAAATATAATTCACAAGTGAACGACAATTACAGGTCATTTACACAAAATAACAGATGACATATTAAACCGCCAAACTTAGATTAGATTTATAATAATATACATAGACATTCATTTAATACATAAAATCGCACCACATTTACGTGTCAAAATCAATATTTAAACGATAATAATAATATACTAACAGTTATCCGCGGACCATCAATTTTCGGTAAAAACACCTGCCTGTATCCAAGAATGGTTTAGAAGGGTTGTCAAAGAAGGCCGGATGTCGTCGAGTAGTGTATTGAATGAAATAAATAAAATTATTTAAACTTCCAGCATATCGTAACTGGATGAATTCGATGGGTGTGGCACCACACGTCAACTGGCTGTACTCCGACCTAACTGACGGGCTGGTCATCTTCCAGCTCTATGACATCATCAAACCGGGCATTGTCAATTGGAAGAAGGTACCATACAACATAATGTTTTTTTTTCAGATTTCCTAAATTCATTCATTATTCAAATTATGAAATTATAATATTCTTTGAAAATGTTTTAGAAGGCAAATTGATTTCAACTTTGTTTATTAATGTTGCTTAACCTTTTCCTATCTTAATATATATAAATTACGTGTCACGTTGTTTGTCCGCGATGGACTCCTAAACTACTTAACCGATTGAGTGGCCGAAATAGAATAGGCTTGTGTCGTCAGCATACAATGTTATGTCTCCTTTTAGGCCAATGTCTTTTAAGTTATTTATATAAATTAAGAATAATAACGGCCCTAGTATGGATCCTTGTGGCACGCCGTATGTCACAGTTTTAGATTTACTTTGAAAATTGTCTATTCTGACTACTTGTTTACGATTTGTTAAGTAAGATTTTAACATATTATAAGCTACACCTGTGATACCAATGTGTTTCAACTTTTTAAGTAGTAAATCATGACTAACGGTATCATAAGCCTTTTTTAGATCTATAAATATGCCTAATGCAATATGTTTTTGATCAATATTAAGTTTTATTTTTGTAGTAAGGTTTATGGTTGCTGATAGAGTGTTTGATTTTCGCCTAAAGCCATACTGTTTGTCATATAAGAAATTGTTTGATTCTAAAAATGTTTGTAGACGGACATTTCTATTGTTTAACTGTTGTGCCTGTGTTGCGGACAAGGATACTGTTAATGTACATACTTATATAACATTATATTTGTTTTAACAAGTTATAATGAAATAAAACGTAATGCTGTATTTCATTATTTTAAGAGATCTTGTTATCAAAAAACACATTTCTTTCTCAATAGGTTTCATTCATTAAGTTTCTAGCACGTAAAATGATTACTACGTTTTTTTTCAATATATGTAATATTCAAATGAAATCACAGGTGCACAGACAATTCTCGAAGCTTCGCAAGTTCATGGAAAGGCTGGAGAACTGTAACTACGCGGTAGAGTTGGGCCGCCAGTTGGGATTCTCTCTTGTGGGCATCGCTGGTGCCGATATTAATGAAGGAAACGCCACACTAACGCTTGGTAAGTTTTAATACCTATTAAAAATAAAGTTCACATAATAAAAAAAGATAAAGCTTGGGTTTGAATCCTAATTGTTCAGTCCACATATTATGTATATGAAACAAATTATTGGTTTTCAAGACTGTTGAGTTGTAAGTTTACCACATGCATCTTAACATCCCTCCGGCCATACCATGCTAGAGGACTAGGATTTTATGGAAGTGTGGAGAACCGTACCCTTAATATGTGGCAATCTTAGTTTTCGGTGACAACGAATCTACCTATGGGTCACAGCATCCACTTACCATAAGATTAACTGTGTGCTCGCTTTTCACCTCTATATTATAAAATAATCACATCGTGAACTTTGTAATTTACACAGTACAGGAAATATAATTTTAATATCCCACCTTAAACACATGCATGTGAGTAAAAAATAGGCTTCATTGAAATAAGAAGACTATATTTATTAATCAGTGGATTTTTCCAGCTCTGATCTGGCAACTGATGCGCGCGTACACACTATCGGTACTAACGCGACTGGCGAACACTGGCAACCCTATCATCGAAAAGGAGATAGTGCAGTGGGTTAATAACAAACTTCAATCAGCTGGCAAGACGTCATCAATAAAGAGCTTCCAGGTTTGTAGCTTTTCCTGATACATTTCCGTGGCAAAAACCTTACCTGCAATATAAACTGAACTTTATAGTTTTATATAGAATCAGAACATGCAGCACGATTACGTAACTCTGATCAAGAGATTTTTTGCCGTTATGTGTTGTTTTTGCACGCAACACTGTAGCCTAAAAAAACATCAGTTTATTATGATTGATCCTAAACCAGGCCTCTATCACTCTTGCTACCTGCGTGAAATAATTACCTAAGATCGCGACGCGCCCGGACGAAATAACGCAGTCAGGGCTAGCGCGTTGGAGGCGATTGAATGTTAAAGTTTTTAAAGTTTTTAATAGTTGTAAAATTTTTAATGTATTTTAAAAATTATATAATATGTATATTACCTATTTGATAAATTATAATAGCAAAACGTCGTTCCTACTATAACTGTTGCTTAGATGGATACTAAGTGAAATGACCAACAAAAGGTTTCATATCATTCTTTAAGTTACCGAAAAATTTTAGAAGGAAGTTATGAAAGGTGAGTTTATTTAATTTTGTTGTTAGATAGGTACTCACAGCAAAAAAGAATTAAGTAATAATTTGGTCTACAGAAGAAATACCTAGGTACTTCATTACAAAAATTAGTTAAAATTTACTTCACTATCCAAGTATTTACTTATATACCTATACTTGTCTTTTGTAATTAAAATATTTTGAGTTATTATAACACAAAATACTGAAATTAAAACTTTGTATACTAACAAGATTTTTAACTAAGTAGAATACACACATCACATTTCTGTTGGATATCGTATTTCAGGTTTATTTGTTGTTTACACTATCTACCTATTTCTCCCAAGCGTTACGATTCCTGACGAATGACCTTGCAATTTGCATGCGTTAGGCATCGCAGAACTCACATATGGGCGAAAGTATGGTTAGTCAATCATAGTCAGAATATTAGTTAGTACTTCACCTAAGTAACATAATTAACATTTCGCAATGTATTTTTTTACTTTCTATTGACATCCCTTCCACGGAAAGTCCGCCGTGACAAAAAAGATGCAAAGTAATATGGACACTAGCGCGCAGCGATAAAGTTTTATTTAGCTTGCGTGTGCGATTTATCTGATTAACCCTTTAAGGGGCAGAAGCTCCTGGCTGGGAGAATGAAAAAATAACACTTGTATGTGAAAAATGTATTTTTTTTTATTAATTTTAAGATATTTTTTTTTATTTAAAAAAAAAAACGGTGTCGACATATTCGACACTGCCCTTCAGGGTGTATGGAACTGAGCAAAGCATGGTACAATGCACAATGGAACTTGGCATTTTGTGCACTGTATTTTGGATGTTTTGTTAAGGATTTTGCTGCTGCATGCTCTGCACCTTCTGTATTTGTGTAGCTCCATTGGCATGTGAGACCTCACATCATTCAACCTCAGTTCATCAGGTATACCGTGAATGGCCTTCTGTCTACTTGTTGGCCCTTTTGGTTTTTTAGTTACAAAGTTGGGCGATTGTGCCACAGTCCTTTTCCTGGAGCTGAAGTTGTCTATCAGGTTACGTGCGAGCACGGTGCGGAAATGCAAGGAGGTCATTGGGTTGTGCACTCTGTCATTTTGGGTGTATATTATATAGGCATTTGTAATGGCAGAATCAACCAAAAAGTAAAATATTCGCATCCACTCTCTTACTACGTCTTGAGATGGAGTATGTACCTCTCTTCTGGTCAAATCTATCAACTCCTCCCATTCTTTTGGTATACTCCAGGATTCCTATGGGACAAAAAACGTCAGACTTCGAACCATCCTTCTGCGTTCTTCTACATGTTGTTTTCTGACGGGGATGATAAGCAGTACTCAATACATACACCAATTTAGTATCTTTCCATACAAAAAATGCGACGTTCCTGTTGACTCGCCATTTGTACTCTCCTTTAGCCAGTACCAGAGGAGGCGGTTTAGGTTCATCTTTCTTTTTTTTTTGGTTTTTTATAAGTTTGGGCAAGTTTGTACGATCTGCGCGTACAGTTGCAGTTGCATAAATATTATTATCAAATAGGTACTGCAATAGCTCATGGGACGCAAAAAAATTATCAAAAGCGATGTGAGTATTCTCAACCTTTTCATCAATAAGGGGGCATTGACTGTTGTCGTTTAGGTGTAAATTTGCTAAAATCTTTTTAAATCTCTTCACTGTCATAACATTAGCAATCTCTGCAACACGGAACATAGGATCGGAAGACCAGTAGAGAGATATATTTGGAAGTACGTGAATGCCCATAAGTATCAAAATACCAAAAAAAGCTTTTAGTTCCTGCAATGTTACAATATCTCAATCTTTCTGTCGGTTTTGGGCTGCGTATAAATTTGTCTGATCAACTATTTCAATAGGACTTCATCATTGAAAAAAACATTGAAATATGTCCGAAGAGAACTTCGATTAGGAAAAAACTGTGATGGTCGCAGTAAAATTTCATCAAATTTCTCAGTAGGCGGAATGTGTGGAAACTGCACTTTTTTCCACTCTTCATCGTCATCATCTTCCGAGTTATCTTCTGAACTGTCTTCCGAGTTATCTCTGTCATCAGCTTGTGTAACCACAGGTGTAACAGGTCTTGTGATTGAAGACATTCTAGAATTAGAGGGAGTAGGTTGAGTACTACCTGTAATACTATCATGTGTGGCAGATATATCCATATTAGAAGATGACGAAAGAATCGAAACTGTTGATGTTGTTGGCTGTGATTCATTCAGACCAGATCCAACTAAAATATCCTCAGGTTCTGTACTGGTAAATGATGAGAAAACTGCTTCATTCTCGTCTTCATCACTCTCATTGCCGTCTTCGGAGTTTTCGCCGTCTGACAGAGCAAACAAGTCTGCGAGAGTATCTTCCAACTTCTCTAATGGGATCACCTATAATAAGGAAATATTAAATTATACTACCTAATATTTAATTGTAAGAATTCTATATAATTACAATATAAATCCTAGCCCAGCCCTGGGCGGGCAGTGTCGAATATATCGACGTCATAATTTTTCGTTGAATATGTATGTAAAAACGTAATAATTTCTGAAATACTGAGTAAGCTGCAATATTTATAATATTTAGAACAAATCATAAAAGAAAACTTACCTTTTTACTCATTTTTCACGAAGTTGTTCTTGGATGAAATTTGCACTTCAGAAAACAGCCAAATAATGACATAAGATGTCATCAGCTGTCAATGTCAGCCATACTTTTTTTTTCTTTTTGCGTTTCGTTTTTGCTATGACCTGTCCGAATCGAATACAGACTATCGCAGTACCAAACTCCTAGCAGTTTAAAAATAAATCAATAAAAAGTATGGTGTCGAATATATCGACAGAGCCCCATAAAGGGTTAATAATAATTATGTAGGCTATTAAACGTCGATAAGCAGTCGACTTCAACTTCTGTACGTAGTAATATTATTTATTCTGTGCCTAAACCAAATGTCGTAACGACGCTCACCAAATTCCCACCAGAGTTGTTCAATCATACTGATGTTAACAATCCTTTATTTAATGAACTCATGGTACACTTTTCAAGATGGTACTCATTAAAATTTTGTTGTGGTGGGATTTACTGTGTCGTCACTATTATCTTCCTGGTAAGTTAGTCACCGATTTGTCAATAGTTAGTTATGGTATTTATTATGTTATTAACTGCGGGTGCCGTAAGAGGCGACATACGGAAACAAATTAGAAGAGGGGTAGCAGCATTTTCCTAATAACAATAAAAAATAAAAAACTGCGGTTGTCAAAACGCTTGCCAAGCGTGCTATGACAAATATCCTATGAGGCAATCTATGGACTGCCATATTATATTTGTGGCATAGAAGGATGTTTGGCATTTTTTTTAAATTATATTAAGCTGTTACCCGGAAGATACGTAAAAGTTACAGCCTCTATACGTCCCACTGCTGGGCACAGGCCTCCCCTCATTTCTGAGAGGGTTTAAGAGTAAGGAAGTGTCCGCCGCGCTGCCCCAATGCGTGTTGGCGAACTTCACATGTCTTCGAAAATATTTTTTTTTCGTGACATGCCGAGACATACCGGTTTCCTCACGATGTTTTCCTTCACCGCCGCGCTCGTGGTAAATCAGCACTTAAAAGGATACCTTGAAAATGAATCGAAGTTTTGGGGGCGTGGCTTATTCCTTTGTCGGTAAAGCTAACGGACGACTGAGGGAGTGTCAAAATGAAAGTGATGCAATGACTTCATAGTACGCAAATTATGAGATAGCCATACCGTGCAAGCACTCGGAAAAAACTAAGTAAGCGCCAAACAACATTTTTATTTATTTTAACGAAACTTCGTTACGGATTAAAAAACTGGTTTATGAGACTGAGATATGATTATTTACTATGTTTTAAAAATAATTCCATTAAATTATTCGTAAGAATATTGTGGTGTCATGGAGAAATGTAAATAGTTAGAGCGCCTACTTTGCAATTTTTTCTATCGAGAAAATTACATTATATCGTGTTTTTCTTTTATGCAATCCAAGGTCATACAGTCTAAAATCACATATCAAAACTTTGGTTTGTAATCTATAAAACTTAAAAAAATATGTTAAATAGAAAAACCACCAAATTTTCGAGGTATCACCTTAAAATTGCAATTCACAATTTTATTGGTGCCGGCGGGGATCGAACCCGGGTTATTCGCGTTCTGTTATATTTACAACGAGCGTTAACCATCAGAGCTACCTCGGCTCTTACTTCTGTCTATTACCTGTTTCAGTATACGTATATCCATTTCTTACGCCACACCTATATAACATTTATTAAACTAGTAATATTGTAAATTACAGGATGAGGTGCTTGCGGACGGTAAAGTGGTGATCGACTTGATTGACGCGATCAAACCTGGCTCCATCAACTACGACCTCGTGTTGCCCGGCGGCAATGAGGAGGTACAAATTTACTTATTTTGTTTTAATTTAAATTATCGTCCACGGAAACTATCTGATACTTAAACGGTTTGCAATTGGAGGATAACGTAGATGTTCATGGGCCACAGCATCGACTTATTATCAGGTGGACTGTGTGCGCGCGTGTGGTCAAACTTATTATATAAAAAAATAATATAAAAATCAATTGCGTGTGGATCTTTGGATGGTTTACCTGTACCCGTACCTGTTACCGATCGTGGACCCGGTAGGTATCGTTATCAAGATCCAGATATCACTCGCGCGAAGCCGGGGTTGATTGCTACTTTAAAATAAATGTTGTGTATGTATGTACTGTGTGTATTTTTCATATATGGGTAAGGCCGCCGATTGTACCACTTTTTGAAGAAAAAATATTTTCATATTTTGATTGTTTATAAAAAACAACATAGTGAGTCAAATGTAATGATAGTATTTTAATTAGGTTATATATCTCTTATACTCTTATGCTATATTATTAAAATTATGTAAATTGTACATTAAAAAAATACAACGAGTTTAAGGAAAAACATGGTCTTTTTAGTGCTTACACTATAAAACATATATTTTTGTAATGAAAATTAAATTAACTTGTGACTATTTGAAATGTATCGATGTTAAGCTACTACTACTACTACATCGTGCTTTTCGTGTCTTTAAGAACGCATTTTTTATAGTGTTATTACTACTTAAACTTATGTTCCATATTTTTGCTTATATGTTACTATTTTGTATGTTACCAAAATTTTCCCTTAAAAACCATAGCAGCACAGTTTGGAAGTTTTTTGTGATTTGTCCGCCCTTACGTACCCTTAACTTTAATGTGTTATATTATTTTTTTTTAAATAAAACGATATATAATAAATAAAATGAAAAATGATTGTATTGTTTATGAATGTTTGGTCGCAGGAGAACCTGGCGAACGCGAAGTACGCGATTTCGATGGCGCGGCGCTGCGGCGCGCGCGTGTACGCGCTGCCCGAGGACATCACGGAGCGCAAGCCCAAGCTGGTGATGACCGTGTTCGCCTGCCTCATGGCGCTCGACTACATCCCCGCCATGGACGCGCCCGTCCAGAAGTAAGTCGCACCGCCGCCCACGTCTGATTGAATTTTATATCTCACACTAATTATTCCCTTTAATGAAGCTAAACTATTTATTAATTACATATATTTTACAATTTAACTTACGTTAATTTCTCAATATTCCATGGGTTTGACTTATAAAGAATGCCCCTAGGCATTAAGTTGCCCTTTGTATTCTTTCATATAGGGCATAGCAATGAATATTTAAATACACATTAATAAATTTGTAATTGGTTACATTGTTATTCAAAACTATATATTATTTTTTAAATTTTTGGTGACTCGTCGTCGAATTATATAAATGTCATAGATTCCGTAGATATAAAAAACACCAATCTTAAACAGTACAAAATGAATTATATAATAAAATTCAATCAAACTTGGAAAAAATAAGCGCTAATATGGTGAAGAAAATGGAATGTATTGTAAGGAAGCTACAAATCCGCTTTGGGATTATATATTCGCGTGCTTTTTAAGGCCTAAGGAAGTGTAAGGAACTGTGTGTATAAAACATTTTAGTGGCTCGGTGGTTTCTCTACTTGTCTCTCTTGTCTGTGAATTTTTGGTTCTAGTTAATTCTATTATTGTTAAACGCGACCGAGCCACTAGAAATGACATATTCATTAATATTATAACCCACCTACATACTGGTTTAAGGAATTACATTTAAAAACTTCCTTATAATAAAATACATTTGGCCTAATTTGAATATTTGTACATTATAAAATATCAGCACCTTTCCTATATAAATATATACCATAGTTTAAGCAGGTGATGGGCACAGTGTAAACAGAATGTCTAAGTTGCAAAGATTTCCAAAATATCGATACTATCGATAAAATCTAAGAGGTAAATATTAATATTATATTGCTTTTTGACCTTTGATATTGTTGGTATGTGAAAATTTCGTCATAAAACAATGTATCTTTGAAAACATTTGAAAACTAAAATATAAATATCGATATTTCTTCACGCTTACATACATAGTACCAGCACACTTTCTCTTGGTAATAAAAGATGGCGTTTTATTGTTTCAAAGTTTGCTTAATTTTCACTGCAATGATTCTTCTTAAAACAAACTAAAGTAACCGTACCGTAAAACTAAAGTACCGTTCGATGGCTTTAATCATAAAATAAATTAATAATAAAAAGTTAATAATTGTAGGTTTCTAACAGTCCAGAAAATTCCATTAATCTCTAAGAAATGTTATTCACATTAAATTTCATTTTAAAATAAGCTTAATTTAACTATTCCGTGAAGAATAGATCTTATAAGGGTTTTATAGTTTTCTAGTAATCATTTAAAGTAAATTTTATTAAGTGATATCAACATAGTAAATAAGTTTTAAATAGGTAAGATTCACTACATATGTTTAGCACCTTCCAGCGACTTTCTTAAAAATATATTAACATTTGCATAAGCCATCTGTGCCATTTCACTCAAAAATAATAAAGTTCATTTGCTCTTCGATGTTATAACAATCAGTTAAAAATTAGACAGGGGAAAATTATTTAATATTTAAGTTGCTCGCCCTGTTTACACTGAGGTCCGGTGAAGGAATTGTATGTTTTGTGATGTCCCAAGTGTTTGTTGCTAAGCGGATAGGAATATTATAAGATTTGTAATATCTGTCTACGTAACTATAACAATTGTAAAGTTAAGGGTAACTTATTGTATAGGACTAGACTTCAAGTCTTTTAGTATCCCATAGTCCTAAGAAGTCAGTTGGAAAGTTAACGCATTTAGTACTTATCAGCTTAGTATTATTGAAGTGTCAATGTTTTTATACATTTTTACTAGGAATTGGAAAAAATCGTATGGATGTGAAATTTAGACATTTAATTATTAGTTAAAACCTTTAGCTTTTTACGCAATAGCCATTTATTTATATTATAATAATTTTTTAAAGGCAAAACCTTGATTTAGTCTTATTTTGGCTTCCAATTTGTTATAATATGTTAAAATTTGCTAAATTCGTTCATTTTATAAATCAAAGTTTTTTTTTATATACAACGAATGTACATTGCCAATGTACTTTAATACTTTTACATAAAAAGAGAGTGGCATGTCAATGTCAAACTATATTTGCATATTTGAAACAAATCTAACCCATGACATTTAATTAACTACGACTAAACTACTAATAAGATGTAATTCCATTGATAACCTAAATTGAAAATTAAAAAAAAACCCCGACACGAAAAAGCTGATGATATTCAAACGGCTGAAATGATTTTCATATAACATAAGAAGCACTGCTAGAAAACCCGCTTTTAAATAAGAAAAACCGCACCCAAATCGGTTCATCCGATAAAGAGTTATGGTGCCGTGTTATAAGTTTGACACGTCGCGGTCAAACTTATAACACCGCTCTTTTTTCGTCGGGGGGCTAAAATATAGAAGTGTTAACACGTTGTTAAACATTCCTGATAATTTCAGCATTCCCTATTGGCATTTTAATGGTCAAGTATATAGGACCGTCTCTTATGATTATTTCTACAAATGTATATTTCTTATGTTATTTAAGTTAGTATACTGTGAATTATTTTTGTAGAGTTTTTATCGATTGTAACATTCCTATGGGATACAACGATTTATTTTAAACTATATTATTTTAATTGTAAATTTTATTTTTTTAGACATTTTAAGGTTTATAGAATTATTTTTAGATTTAGGTATATTTTCGATAAAGGAATCAATAAGTATTGCTAAACAGTCCGTTTTATCAATAGCTAGAATATGTATCAGTGATGTCCCTCTCGTCACTCAAAAGAACAGGTAATTGTTTAAGAGCTATTTTCAATACATTATATATTATCATAATATATGCTGTCATTTATGATTTCGATCATTTGTAACCCTATAAATAAATCGGAATTGATTAAAAAATTGTATTTTATTTTTCAAACAACAAACATTTCCTTGCGCTCTATATAGAAAGGTTAAGGGTCTTTATCTCTCGTGTTCTGTTGAATACTTTGTGCGTGTCATGCTAGTGCTACTTTTTTACTTTTCTTCGCGTCTCAAACTGGGAATAATAAAAGGTATTTTACGTTCTTTTTCTGTCACTTTTTGCTCAGCACTGTTATTTTGGCACATGCTTACTATGTATTGCCTACTCTATGTTATGCATTTGAATGAAACTAATACTTTTTTTTTATTGTTTACGTTTTCTTGGGTGTTTGTTTGGAAGTCAATAATCACTAAGTATTTAAGTTTCAATATTCATTAACTTTGTTGTTTTGGTTCATTCAAAAATCTTTTGATACAAATGATAGTATAATAAGAAATTAAGAAAGGTTGAAGACTTGATCAATATATAAATTATAAGGGGTTATTGTAACAATTGTTACAATAATTACTACCTATATTCTTTTTATAAATATAAGGGTGACAAACGAGCACACAATAGATATTATGGACCAAAAACATTAAACAAATCTGTCTTCAATTAAAAATCCAAATGCAGATGAGTTGTCAACCCATGAGGACTGAAATGGGACGCCTCGTTACCAGTAATAAAGATCTTAGATTTTTGCCGCTCGTCATGTGAAACATAACTGCATTAAGCTGCTATTTCACATTGAATTTTGTTTTCATTTAGCACAAAATTCGCCTTTTAAAAGTTGTTTATAATACATAGATATGTTACGTGATGGTTGTTTGAGAAACCGTTTTATAATCATTTAAAATAATTGATATTACTGCATGTTCTAGTTTTGTTTTGTCTTAGTAGTAATGCACAGCGCTTTATAATTTAAAAAAAATTACTATGACCATAATTTTTTACAATGAAAATAATTATAGGACTGAAGTGACGGTATCATCGGAATTCCGGAATAATTCGATAGAATCCCGAGTGGAGATCATTGAGCAAACTCAGGAGGAGAACCCTGAACACTTGGATGAATCAGGTCTATCACCAATTATAGAAAAACCAGCAATACCCCCAAAACCAGACAACTTGTCTCAAATATCTAGACACATTTCAGTTCAATCTACAATCGAGGTCAAAGAAGAATAAATAAAAAAAAACTTTACACATTTTAAACATTTGTACATATTACCGAAATCGGTATTTTATTGTTTTATGTAATAAGAAGAAGAAAGACATATGCATGAAATATAGTTTTCTGTATAATGAAAACAAGACCACTTATCTTACAATAAACAGTCAAGATCGTAATATATTTTAATTTTCACATCGCAGTGATTTATGTGTATTTTTATTTTTGTTATATTAACTTTTTTTAAATAGTCGAAAATAATATATTTAAAAAAAAATAATACAGTTTTATTTGATGTCAAAGAGTTTATATCTACTATGTTCAAAAAACGGTAGGTTCAGCGGATTAAGTAATAATAATCATTCATCATCACAATCTATTTAAAAATGAGAGAATAATTATCGATAAATCAACAAAGATCCTAGACTAAATTTTGATCTTTAAAGAACCAATTTGAACATTTTAATTGTTATTAACACGTGAATGTAATTATCGTATTTAATTTGAAATATTTTTCATGCGAATATTGAAGCTCATTTAGCAAACAATAACTTATCATTTGTCTAATATTTCAATTGCGTTTATATTCGTATACAAAACAATTATTTTAATCTTTTAATTGTTAGCAGTTAATTTATTTTGAAATAGTAGAGAGGTAGGGTTCAGTGGGGTGTTTACTAAAATAATTTTAAATTATTATTTATCCAATTAGTAAAGGCAGGCGCAAACATTGTGTTTGAAATTGTTTTTTATTTTTTTATGTCATGATTTTGTAACGACAGTTATAACGTATAATGTATGTCGTCCAAAGATAAAAATTCTAATTATAGTTATGTATATAAGGAAAGATTTCCTACATTTATATTTTTGTAGTTTAAAAATTAAATTTACAATCGTAATAAATTGTGGTTTTATTTTTATCATAATATTTATATAATATTATTATAAAACGGTACAAAACCATAAAGTAATCCGAATCTAAAATATTATATTAGGAAACTTTGCATGCTCCTGTTGTTTCCACTTGAAGGCTTATATCTATAACTATAAAACTTGAAATCTTCCAAAAATATTTGCCAGTTGGCACATTCTTGAATCGCAGCGCATTGCTTGAAGTGGCATCAATAATTTATTCTACTATACAGTACTTTGATTGTGTTAGAGCTTAGAGTAAGCTTGGGCATCTTAAATCGTAAGGAAATGCCGTTAAATTCTTTAGCGTCCGGTCGATAGTGGTACATTGTCCAACCAAGTTTTACAAGATTTATGTAGGACGTAAAAATTATCCAGACAGGCGAAGGACAAGAGCACAGACTACTGTAAGGATACTACCACAGAAATAGTAATAATAAGACATTAAAAATGAATTAGCACTTGATTACTTCCAAAACCGATGTCGCCACATCTTACCGTATTATAAACATTCGCAATGCACAGTGATATCTAATATTTCACATTACATTGCTTGGCGAGTTTGTCAACGTCCCGTGTGGCGCGTATTACGGTAGAACAAAAGCAGCAATGGTAATTGTACAATACGAAAAGTAATAATGAGTTACAAAGGTAAATATCATAGTAAAGTATTCATCTAGATGTAAATTAGTTAAAACAATGATAATTAGTAAATAATCAACTTACCGATGAAATGTTATGCCTTTATTAATTAATTTACACGTTTTTGATGATTTTTTACAACTGATTATGCTGCAGTTCACCATTATTAATTTATAATAACAAATTCACGTACGACGTTCCCCGCGCAACTAAATCATGCTATTGTATCTTCTAAGGTAGCACAGTACACGTTGGCCCAATGCGCTCGCCGAGTGCGTTCGGCCAACGTGTACTGCAAAGTTTTGTGTGTATTTATAGTTTGCGGCAAACACGCGCCAACAAGCCAAATAGTGTCGGTTTTCCGTGCACAAATCAAAGAAATTTGGCGCAAGCCGCAAACTCCGATCACATGTTGGCCGAGTGTTCAGTTCATAGTTACGCGTCGGAGTAGACTGTAGTGTCGGCTTAATAAAATTGTTTTACGAATATGGACGTAGCTAATGAAGAAGTATTTAGGTTCATTGCTTATTATCACAATTAATTAGTTATATGGAACCCCAAACATGAGCAACATAAAAATAAAACCAGAGTTAGTGACTTTCCTAACTGCATTAAATTATACATATTTAGTTACGATTTCAGAGTACCTACCCAATGATAAATATTATAAATTATCTCAGAGTTTATGTTGCTCAGGCATAAAGTAGCTTAGGGGCTTTTTAGGTATTTAATATATATAGGTTAACTAAAATAATTTTTGATAATGTCAATAATTTCGGAAATAATCGCTCCAAAAGTAAAAAACAATGTGTCCTCTCTAACTTTTGAACCATAAGTTTAGAAAATATGAAAAAAATCTGAAAAGTAGAACTTTATAAGGACTTTTTGAACATTTTGATTTTGGATGGAAACAACAGTACCCACTACCGGGAGCAGTTGCATGAGCGCGGAGCGCTGCTGGAGCGCGAATATAATGGATACCCACCTTTAAACTCATAAGTGGGAACACTTACTGTGACGGACGGGAAACTACGGAACCCTATACTGAGCGTGGCCCGACACGCTCTTGGCCGGTTTTATATTATCTTGAGTAGCAGTATAACGGGTCATTATTTCGCTTATCGCCGAAGATTAGCAGGTAATTGAGAAAGCTACAATGATTTAAGAACAAAATCTCAAACAGCATCTGCTCATGCTAAAATTGAGGCCAATGGAGAGTTTTATATTTTAGAATAATATAAATCATCCTAATAATGTATTTAATGAAGTTGTTTATTAATTTTATATTAATGTTTATTTATTTATTTATGATTTCATGCACAAAGTAGTATATGTGGCGGACTTAATGCCATAGGGCATTCTCTCCCAGTCAACCATTAGGCTAAACAGAGATAGACATTTTGGAGGCGGTGCAGCAACAATCAAATAGAGAGGATAATGTTATGTTTTTATAAAAAAATATTATATCTAAACAAAAATATAATATACATTACATAAATGCCAATTCACTTGATATAATACACCGGTAATAATATTTGATCGATTAATTGATTTTTGGGAATGGAATTTAAAGCAAAAAAACTCTTAATAGTGATAAAAAAGATAAACATAAATTACACTTTCTTTTTTATGGGTATAATTTGTTTTTAATTGTTTTGAAATTTTTTTGATTTTTAAAGGAACCATTTCAAACCAGACTACAATATTATATTGTTTCAAACGTAGCATTGACGCATGCACAGTACGGGTGTGTATGTATAATTATGTACATAAATAAAAATTGTTAATTAAATGTTTGTTCTATCAAAAATACATATATCAAAAATACATATATCAAAAATAGATATATTTTGATAGAACAAACTTTTTTTAAATAACAAACATAAATGAATATAAAAAGGCCAATAATAACTAAAGAAATTATAAATTGGAGTGGGGGGGGGGGCTAACTATAAGGCAGATTGTTAATAAATTTTTTTATAACTAAATTATTGACGAACAAACAATTATTGATTGAGGACAATCAAGAACAAACCACGAACTAACGACATGTGATAACAAAATTTGAAAAATAAAAAATAAAAATTTTCGGGGGCTAACTTCAGTGTGCCCTCAGCACACTTCACTCCGTCTACTACTGTTTAGTTCACCTCTAGCTACTCGAGCGCTGTTCTGAAAAGTTTTTGAACTGTTATTTACTCCTTACAGGAGGACACATTTTCAACTATTCTCCTATGGGAGCACAGAGTACATTATATATACCTGGAATTATGGGAGATTATCCTCTTTACCTCTTTACTCCATGGGCACCACGAAAATCTGCCGAGCGCACGCGTTATAGATTACTGAATATATACTACATGCTATTTTGCTATTGTATCTTCTAAGAAATATCATTGATGGTTAAACTACCGCCATCTAGTCAATGGGTGCGTTTGGCAAAAAAAAGCGCTAGCAATTAAAAAGCACTATAGCCATAAATTTTTTTTTTTTTTTTTTTTTTTTTTTTTTATTTTTTTTGGCGTGGTTCTGCTTGGTTTTCTTGCTTTATGAAACACTTAATACTTTTTAATTTATAGCTGCTCTGGAATCTAGCATTTTTAGCTAAATTATGTAAATCAATCAAGATAGTGTGCCCGCCACAAAAAATTAAGCATTATTAATAATAAGAAAATACTAAAAAGGAAATCATATTCCATTAAGCAAGTTATTGTTATATGTTATTGTATTTATTAACTACATTTAAAAAATATCATCATCATCATCATTACAGCCCTTCACAAGTCTACTGCTGAACATAGGCCTCCCCAAGGTAGGTAATGCTACAAAGCACTGTCCTAAGCCGCCTGCATACATTGACTTCCTGCATGTCTTACCAGGTTGTCACTCCATCTAGTGGGGGGTTGCTCTACACTTTGCCTAACGGTACGAGACGAATCCGTCGAGTGACCTCTCGGCCGAAGTTGGACTTACCTAGTCGGACTATTTGTCCCAGGTAAACATACTCGTCAACAACTTCGAGCTTAGTGCTCCCAAATAACTACCGGCATAGGTGTGACATGGGCGTTACACATTATCTTCATTTTGTCCATGTTTATCTTAAGACTTATCCGTTGGGAGATACTATTGAGGTCATTGAGCATAGTGCTTAGGTCCTCAAGCGATTCTGCCATAAGGACTATATCGTCGGCAAATCGAAGGTGAGTGATGTTAGATAAGTAATTATTTTTGAAAAATAAGTACTTAACTTATTGTAATTCGTAAAATATAGAACATTGCTTAAACAACATTAACTTTGCAGTAAAAAAAACATTCTCTCCTATGGCATTGAAGGCGCTAGACAGGTAGTGATCATCAAGGTTCTCGCCAAGTATTATATACAGTATTTATATATGAAGTATTATATACGATTAAGGCAAATACTTCATTATAATGGAAATGAACAATTAAGCAGTGAAATTTT